GTAATAATGCATTGTTTTTATAGAGCTATTCTCTGAGTTTTAAAGGCTGTGCTTTTGTTTTTCCCTTTCACTACTTCCTGTGGAATATCATCTGGCTTATCTGCCTGTTCTTTCTGCTTTCTTGTTAAGTGTATATGTTTAATATTATTGTTTTCCCTGATGGTAATTCCCCATGTATTAGTAAATCCCTGATCATAAACATTATAGAACATTTGGTAGTTATGCTAGAAACCACTACCGTCGATGAGACTAAAAAGAGAAAGAGTTTAATTTTGGAGAAAAACCATCCTATTTTCTTTAAAAAATAAACTATATAAACAAAGCAAAAGAAGGGGCTTGCCAGGGATATTATGTCCTTCAAGGTTTTCTCTAGCCTGACTTTAGAAGATAGTCATCACCAACATATTCTTATTTATTGCACTGAAATATAAAATAGATATTATTTTTTAATCCAGATATTAATATGGGTATGGAACTTATTTTGAATTTGCTTCATAGGTAATTTAGTTTTTAAAAAAGAATGAAAGGCATTATTAGGCAGTAATGTGATCAAATTACCAAAAGCTTCAAGGTGGTTCTATTTCAGTTCTCAACCTGATATACATTTAAAAATATCTCTACTTAAAGTAGTTACCATTCATAATGCATTATGGTATCTTTTCAGATAACACCTTAGACTATAAAGAAGCCATTATCCTTGATTTGATGTATTTAACCCAAGTTAAATTTATGACAGACTAGAAATTAGGTATTATGTTATACACCTCACTTCCTGTTCTGTGCAACTTGATGTATGTGTGAGCCATAAGTCCGGCGGTGTTTATAAGAATATGCTATCGTTGGATGGAAAGGCTGTTTCATATTGCTCAGGGAAAATATACAAGATTAATAATGCATGGTGTATATATAACCTTGCAGTTACAGTTTATAAGAGATTTAACCTGTGGTTAAAGGAAATACAATGAAATCTATTAGAAATCCTTCAAAAAAGGAAAATTCAGGATTTACTTTTTTAATTCCCAGGGTTCTGTGCAGTTGACCAATTTAGGAGGGAGAGACTTCATTAGTATATTATTTTTAGAGCAGATGAGAGATTATAAAACTACCTTAGTTTCTGATAGACCATAGATCAAAGAATCCAGTTCGTATCTACCTTGCCCAACTCTCCCACCCCATTCTCCTTTCCTCATAATTATTTACAAGAAGTACCTTTTAAACCACATGTATAGCTTATATTGCATTTAAGGATCTGCTTTTACCCACAGTATTATTGTAGAGTTCCACAGCATAACATTGATTAATTAAAAATTTCTTAAGCAGTGGATTAGAGATGGCTCTGCAAAAGAAGAGTGAAATATGCAGTATTTTTCATTTAAATGCAGCCCATGTGATAAACCATTACTGTCGGATAATCTCTGACCAAAGAGACAAACTTTCTTAGTGAGCCTATGTCTGTGTCTTTTAAGACCAGCACTGACCACTTTGTGGGCAGTCGTGTGAAACCAGGCACAGGATAGAACTTGCAGGGGCATCTTTCTTTACAGATAGTTCTAATAAATTACAACTACATCTCACAAAGAGACTCATACTCATGTACATTTTCTATAATACCTAAGAAACATTAAACAGACAAGTCTTTTAACTAGCCCTAAAATTATTTCCTTTGAAAAGTATTGAGAGTCCAGTTGTTTTGTTCTGAAAGAACTTCGGTAAGAGACTGGTTTGTCAGTGTTTTCTGAGTCCTCATGATATTAAAATATATTAGTCATAAAACAAAGCAATACCCTTTATTTCCACTCTCTATATAGAGTATTTTCCAGCTGAGGCTGTACATCAGAATCACTTATAGAGCTATATTTGCTTCTATTTCTAGAAATTCTGATTCAGTAGGTATGAGGTAAAGTCAATGTTTTTAAATTTTTTTAAGTTTTAGAGATGGTTCTAATAGACACACTTCCAATTGAGTACTACTACTAGCTTGCATTGGAATTGGTACCATACATATTTCATATCATATGGAGGTGAGTTTCTGTCATTTACAAAGAAGAACCAAGAACGTAGCTAGAAGGAAATCCTAACCATAATCAGAATTTAGATTTTAAAAGGAACCAGTCTAAATCCCTCCACTTTACAGATCAATAAACTAACCTACAGTGGCTAAGGAATTTGCCAGAGTTGGTAGCAGAAGCAAATACTAGATTGAAGATTCTGACTTGAGCTCTTTCTGTACAAGTATCTTGGCCCTAGTTCCTCTCCCAGAAATGCTTCTAAGCCACTCAGTGTTCTAGAAGTTGTCTTGAGCATTCCAAAGCCTGCTGGGGTGTTGTGAGGTCTCAGGGTACTTAATAAAAGCAATAATGCATCAAGCAGAAACTCTTCATTCTTTGAAGTTCCTAGGTAGGCGTTATGAGTGACACTGTAGTTAGAAGTATAGACTTTACCCAAGATGCTTTTGTAACTTCTTTGTAAACATGGAAATTTCTGGCAAGAGATGTCTAGATTTGGTACTAAGGATTGTCGAGAACAAGAAGATCATTTGTCTTATTTAAACTGATCCTTAAGTATTGGCAGCAAATCTAGGAAATTATGCCAGTGTTATATTTCCTAAGCAGGCCTGACTTTTAGCTGTACTTCAGGAAGAGGATATTATGCCCAGATTTGCAATTTAACCAACTAAAGGAATAATATCTTTATTAATTATGATTAGATTTGGCTGTTTAAAAAAATCCAAATAACAGTAGCTCCGTAAAGGTAGAGATTGATTTTTCTTTTGGATAAAGAAAAGTTCAAAGAGAAGGGAAGTCCTGCATTGGCATGGTTACTCCACAGCCATCAGGAACTCAAGTTGTTCTCTTTTTTGCTCCATCTATTCTTGGTATTGTCTTACATCCTCAAGATGTCTGGTGATTCTAGATGGCTTCTAGACCTTCAAAAGGTCACACTTCCCCTTCTGGTAAGCTCCCTTGAAAGAACTTTTCTAGAACCACCCATCTAATGATTTCTACTTCCATCTCTTTGGTCTTTCCAGTTGTCAAGGAGGCTGGAGTTATAGCTGGGCGAGTTGCTATTTGCAACAATGAGAAGTTCTGTAATTAAGAAGGGGAGAACTAGCACTCTGGGAGGCCAAGGCGGGAGGATCGTTTGAGCCCAGCCTGAGCAAGAACAAGACCGACCCCCGTCTTTACTAAAAAAAAAGAGAGAGAGAGAGAAAGAAAGAAAAGAAAAGAAAAATCAGCTGGGTGTCATGGCACACACCTATAGTTCCAGCTACTTGGGAGACTGAGGCAGGAGTTTGAGGTTGAGCCCAGGAGTTCATGGTTGCAGTGAGCTATGATGGTGCCACTGCACTCTAGTCTGGGCAACAGAGTGAGACCCTGTCTCAAAAAAAGAAAGAAAGAAAGAAGAGAGAATGGATATTGGGCAGGTAACCAACAGGCTCTGCTACACCTGCTCTGAAGAATATAAAATTTATATTAGGAAAATAACATTTTAGTGACATAAAAAACTTATATAGGACATAAATTTAAAAGATCCCCAAACTGCATTTACCATGTGTCTGATTAATTAAAGCAGTAAATTTCTAGGATAGAATGTTCTGCCTTGGATTTCTCAGCAGGACTCACTGGTAACAGCTATTTGGTTTTGTATATTTTAAACTGAAAAATGAGTTCTTCAAAACAATAGGAAAAAAGACACTTTAAATCGTTTTTCCTTTTTGATATAGGGAGACTCAAAACAACCACAAAGATAGTTGAAATAGCTATTTATTGAGCTAGCAGGAACAATGCCTACTATATTAGAGGATACAAGCGAGGAACGAACATATTGAAAGAAAATACTCAAGTTGTTTAATATTTAAGTGGAACAAGATAGATTAATGCAGTAAATGAAATAATTAAATATACACACTTCATAGCAATGAATTGCATTAACTCCAGATATACAAGACACCTGCCCTGGAGAAAGGATGTATTAGATATATGTCACCTCTGCTTATATATATCCCACCCATACAAATAAAAGGGGACTGGGAAGATGGAGAGAATTTTGTTATCTGAAAAACTTAGACGCAGTAGCAGACAGTAATCCACAACATATACAACTGTAGACCACGATATACATAAATGTGGAAATATTTATAATTTTAAAAATGTTCTGTAGTCACATTAGTATCCACTGTTCTCATGGTAGCAGTTACATATTTACTGAATGCCTCATATTTACAGTGCACTTTGTGGAGGAAATTCATTCACAATTTACCACTTAGATGAGAAAGTCTACATTTTGGCTTCTTAATAGCTATGAATTTCAAATCTGGGGAAAACCCAGCCTTGTATTTTTTCCCCTTTTTCCTTTCATAATTACTTATCAGCAATCAAACACTAAGTGTCTGTTGACTTTTCTCCAGCTGATAGAAAACAGAAAACTATGGAGACTCTCAATGAGAAGGCAGCCAGTTGTGCTGGCCTAGGGCCAAGTTGCACTCTCTGTGACTTTGCCTCTTCAATCTGAGTTCTCCATGGGGCAACAGTTGCAAAGAGCCCTTGAAGCTCTTTGGCCTTTGACAGTAAGCAATAGGGAGTGCTAATGAAACCAGCTAATGCAACAAGGTCTTTTAGCCTGGCCTTTGAGCTCAGTCAGCCATTCTTTGAACATTTTATGATATTGTACTTCTGGCCATCTTTTGGGAGAAATAGTTTACAGTCTGCTCCAATAGTGGATCAGGGACCATTCTATGTCTTCTATAGCACTGGAAATGCCTTTGGCATTGCAGTATTAGATATCTGCTTATTTGAACATACTGTGCAATGACAGCCTTTCCCACCCATTATTAATTTCCATTGAAGATGTGCTCAGTTTAAGTTTCCAGTAGGGACAAAGAAAGAAAATAGAAATCTCACAAACTGCACTTTCTTTATATCTTACTCAGTGCTAATATAGTTGTCTCATATTTTGGTTTTGTGTCTCCCATTCTGTACCCCATTTCCCCTCTATTTCAGGTGAAGGTCTCCCACAGGTATATTACTTTGGACCATGTGGGAAATACAATGCCATGGTGCTGGAGCTCCTTGGCCCCAGCTTGGAGGACTTGTTTGACCTCTGTGACCGAACATTTACTTTGAAGACGGTGTTAATGATAGCCATCCAGTTGGTAAGTTGGAGTTGCCATTCTGGGAGAGAATAGGCTGGTCCCCTAGACACATCCTTGTGGGCCTTTTGGCGATTTGCAGTGTGTGATGCCTAGTGAACTAGTGCTTACAGGTTTGATGGCATTCTTGAAAGCTGGCTGGGACAAAAGGAGTTAATTCAGAGAAGTCACACTGTATCTGCAGTTTGCTCTATTTCAAGAATTTGCACCTTGGAACAGTACTCTGCCCTTGACTAAAGTGGAAGCATATTATTTAGCTTAGAGAGAAAGAGGATGATTAGGTGGAGTTGTATAAATGCAAATAATTTCTTTGATGTTTTATTTATAGGTTTTAAACATGTAGCTATATGAGATTTTGTCATGTCGTCCCTCTCCTTTCACCATTACATCCAAGAAAGGACTGGAGATGTAACCCCTAGCACTAACACTCAGATTCAAAACTTGTGTGACCAAGAACTTGCCTTAATTCTCTGGCCTCCAGTTCTCACAGACTGATTCAGTTGAAGAGGCAACTCTTGTAGCACCTACCAAATTACACACCAGTACCAGTTTAAGTAACATTTGCAACAGTTACTTTGAGAAGTTTGTCAGGCCCTCTGGAAGAATGCAAATGTATCTTTATTTGTTTCAAATGGTGATAATCTCCCACTGTCCTATAAAAATATGGAAATGTCTGAGCTTCCCTTTCTATACTAAGTAGAAAAGCTCTGTAGATAGAAATACTTAATGAAATTTGAAATAATTTTATGGTTATTATTTTGGGTTATATTTGCTTTAACATAAAACTGTAGTCCTATCTCTATGCTAACTAGCTATGTGATATCAGGCCAGTATTAACTTCTCTGAGCCTCACTTCTCTTATTTCTGTAATGATGAGTGCTGAGTTGGGGTGTCTTGTCCAACTGGGGATAGGAAGATGTGGGCAGGAGGTGAATGTGGCAGTGGCACCTGTCTTAAAGGCCATCAACAGTCTTATATTCTACCTGGGAATACTTCTTTTCTCTCTAATGCTCATTTTCTGAAGTAAAAATGTATTGTCATTTTAGCTGAACTGTATAATGCCCCTTTTCCTAATCTTGATATTTGTTATGTATGTATTTGTGACAAAAAATATTCTTTGGTTTACAAGTCAGTAAAATGACTCACTCTGGGTAGTGAAAAAAAGATGAGTTTTATTATTATTTTAGTAATATAAAACCTTGGGCTGATAAAAAAAATGTTTTGCTGTTATTTTCCCAATGTACTTCTTTAGAGTATTTCTATCATTTTTTTCTCTTTTAGCTTTCTCGAATGGAGTATGTGCACTCAAAGAACCTCATTTACCGAGATGTCAAGCCAGAGAACTTCCTGATTGGCCGACAAGGCAATAAAAAAGAGCATGTTATACACATTATAGACTTTGGATTGGCCAAGGAATACATTGACCCTGAAACAAAAAAACACATACCTTATAGGGAACACAAAAGTTTAACTGGAACTGCAAGATACATGTCTATCAACACGCATCTTGGCAAAGGTGTGTTTATTTCCTGCTCTATGAAAGGAGCAGGTCATTAGAACAATCTTTTATTCTAGTAACACTTTTATTCTCATTGTACATTACAATTTGTGGTTCTCATTGCTTCATAGGCTAAGTGAAATTGGGATGGTAAGTTAATGACTTTCCTAAGTATCCTATTGACTAGTTATAGATTCTTAATTCTTTACACTGTGTTTCCAAATGCTTAGTTTCTGAGCAGTGTGAGTACTTGAATTATTGTAAAAAGGTGATAACATTTAAGTGAGTTTGGTAATGAATTTGGTATTTACTTATGATGACACCATATATGATAGTTCTAAAAAGGACATTAGGCTGGTGTCTGCAGTGGGGAAGAGTGCTTCACTAAAATTGGACTAAACTTCTATTGACTGTGTGTAATCCATGCATAATTCTTCAAGGAGTTTCTTATCTGATGAAAACATATTTTCTCTACCATGAGTCTTGAATTTTATTCGGGATAGACTGCCAGCACAAGTTTTGCTAAAAGATCTAATCAAGAAAAAATACCTTACTTATAAGAGAAACCAGCCGAAGGGAAGAGTGTTTGCAAGAGAAGCCTAAGGAACAGTGGGGATGCCAAGCCGGCAGAGCTTGGGCCCTTTGCCAGCTTCTCCAAAAAGACTTTCCTTTTTATCTGTTTTATATATTGGGCTTCCATGGAAGATTCTTTTCCAAGAAAAGGTTCCTAGGTGATTAAAAAAATACGTTTGAAAATCAACATCCGAGAGAGTAGACATGTAAACAGAATATTATCAGGTTCCATGCCTGATAATAGACATAGCTAGCTAATTATATAAAATTTTTAAATATCAATGAACTATAACACCCTAATAAGTATCTTAAAGACTAATTCAATACCTACTAAGTTGCCTCATTGGATAAATTACACGTGTATTCACATGAGGGTTCTAGTGACAGCGAAGAGTAGAAATGACATTACAAAATAGTACGATAGAACTTGAGTTGAAATCGTGATGCTATCAGGACTTTTTTAGTAACCATATGGAAATTCTCATTAACTCTTAAATAAATGTGATATTTTAAAATTGGGCTAGAAGGTCCTCTGCCACTTATTATTGGTATCACTTTGGACAAGTTATTTAATCTCACTGAAACTTATCTGTAAAATGAGGGTAGTACTTCACAAGGGTGTTGTGAAGGTTGAATGGATAATATATGTAAAAGCACCTTGCCTGATGTGGTTCTTGCACAGTGGTCAATATCCCCTTTTTCCTTCATAATGACATGTAATCTTCTTTTTCACATGAGACAGACAGTATCTTAAATACTAAAGTCGTGATTGTTTGGTTTAACTGACAAATTCTAGAAATTGTTCTAATGCCTGCTTCCTAGACTCAGTTTGTGTACTTATTTTATTATTTTTGTCAGGAAAGGCAAGAACAGACAAGAGGTGGGTATTTGTGTTATGTTTGTGTCAGGTGCAGTGTAATGGTTAAGAAAAAGATATGCAACTCTTTCACTTAATAGCTATGTGATTTTGGTCCAGTAACATTCCTTCCTCGGCCTCAGTTAGCTTATACATAAAATGGGTATGATAATTGTACCTGTAACATTAGGGTTCTGTGGGATGATTTATATAAAGTGTTTAGCATAGTGTGTGATAATAGTGTGGTCACTCCATATGTTAGTTATCCTTATTTAATATTCAATGAATATGTTTTTTTGTTTTTGTTTTTGTTTTTTGAGACAGAGTCTCACT